TGTGCAGTGCCGCATCCACCCATGCGCGCGACCCAAGAGATCTGCACGACACTTGCCCGGCGACCAGACCATCATTCGTATGCGTTCTGTCTGTCGTACGCACACTCGCCCAGTGGTCCGCGCACTCGCCCGCACATCCATCCGACGACCAGACCAGCACTTGCCAGCATCCCGCCTGGCATCCGCACACTCGCCGAGTGGTCCGCGCACTCACCCGGCGACCCACATGTGCAAGAAAACACTCGCCCAACAAGCTTTTAGGCGGAATTTTTGGCCATGTTACCGAATGGGCGAGTTATTTTTAATGTGTGTGTTTTGAGTGTGTGTTTAAGGTGTGGGTATAAATACAATCATTCCTTTGTATTTTGAGGACCAAGCTTTCATTTTCTTAGTTTTCCACTTTGAGAATAGGTCATTTTCTTATTTTTCTCTCTATCTTTGAGTTGAGAGCTCCATGACCCATATTTTCCAGTGACTTTGTGACGACTTCGTTTTTATGCTAGATTCGAGCTTTTCACTCCGATTTTCTTCGAGCATGCAATATGAGAGTGAGTACTTAGTTTTAAGATTCATTACTTCATATTTGTTCTGCTTTTTACTTATGAAGACTTTTTCAAGGCAAATGTGGTGTTTGCTAGTTGAAAGATACAAAGTTTGGATCTTTTTATTTTCATTGCTTGTCTAAGTGAAATTAGGAGTTAAATACGTGTTTATCTTGTATTAAAGGTTGAGACTTTATGTAAAACTTGATCATTTAGGTTCAGAACGCTCGTGCTAATTACCTAGGATCTTAGTGCTAGTATAATTCTTTTTGTTTATTTTCATTTTTCTTGAGTTGTGCGGTCAACCAAAGTTCCGATCTTTTCTCAAAAGTGTGCATCTTTACTTCGTTGCTCTCAATTATTAGTTGCAATTAGCTCAAAATCAACCTCAATTATCATGTTTAGTATGTTTAGGACTTTATTTTTCCTTTTTGTGCCTTGGACAACTAATTGGTAGACGAAGAACATAATAGTCTTCCTATGAGAGACGACCCGAGGTTTGGATAACTCGATTACCAATCTATTCGCGCTAAAAACAACATAACAATGACCCAAGCCCAACACAGGCTTAGACTGTCTAAGGCCACCCAAGTCCATTCCAAAAACCAAGGATCAAGCCTAAGGATGGTGCTCGAGCCAACCCGGCCGACACGTGGGCGAGCAAGCGCGAGCATGTGGTCAATACCAAACCTTGATGATAACTTTTGTTGTTGTTGTGACATCTCCAACCCTCTTTATTATAGTAAAAGGATTTATTCCCATTTAAAAGTGCAATATGTGATAGGACTCTTGGCCATTTGAATCTCACAACTAACGTTTTACGTATCCATTAATGGCTAACTTTAATCATTTATTTCTTACACATCGAAAAATAGTTTTAAAAAAATAAATATACCATGAGTACAAACTCGGAACTTATAGAATATCTACACTATTTATTTAAATCAAAATTTACTATTTAGCCATAAAAAAGTTGAAATTGGGTCAAATCCAATTTTAAATAGAGAAAATAACTATTTTTACTCCGTCCTAAAGTCATACACAAGTTTTTTCATACCGATAACTGATAAGTTAACTTTTTCACCCCATAAAGTGCGATAGGTATTATGTGATAAATATGCCACAACTGATGCGAATGACATTATTTGAAAGTTGAAAGTGCGAACACATTCGCATAACCTTGTGCATTTTTTTGGGGTGAAAAAAGTAAAAGTGTGAAGTATTGTGCGATTAATATATATACAACAATTATGCAACTGATATGCGACAGTTATGCGAACAATTGGCATAACTTTCGAGCTTTTCAAGGTGAAAAAGTTAGATTGTCAGCGGACGAGGTGAAAATTTTAATATGTCTTTAAGATGGGTTGAAAATGATTTTTTCCTTTTACATAACTGATTTTCTAATATTTACCATTCTACGTCACATTAAAATTTTTATTTTATTCAACAACACTAATAATAATTTTTTTTGTTGTTGTTATTGTTGGGGTGTAAACAACTCGACCCGACTTTGAGTACCATGCTCAAGCTCGAGTCTTTCATAAGTCGAGTTGAGCACGACTCGCTAACTAAACGAGCCAGTAAATGAGCTCAAACTCTACTTATTTTTCAATATTAATAAGACGAGTTCAAGCCTTAACAAGCAGATCTCAAATCTTAGTAATTGGAATTATAGAAATTTGTATTAAAACTCGTATTTTAGAGCTTTAACAAGCCCAATAAAGCTTAGTTCATTAACTAAACAAGTTCTCAATGTGTTCTAACCAGACTCATTTATCAAATAAAAACTAACTCATGCCTTAACGACTTGTACCTAACCAAATTTACCAACGGTTCGTTTCGTTTTTACAACTCTATTTAATGTAAAAAAATAAACACACACAAATAATTGAAGGAGACACGTGGTCCTCCATCCTTTTTGAAAGTTTCTATTCACAAATCACAAGTCTAATAAATTACTTTTAGTCAAGCCGTATACGTGACCACTGTCAACTTCATTTTCGGCGTTAGCTACACAACAAAAGTACTTGTGTTCAAACTTCAAAGAATGTTTCTACCTTTAATTGAACAGTAATTGCATCTTTCTAATTGGATTGTATTATCGTGTGTATTGTTAAACTAGCCAGAAAAGGAAGAAAAAAAAAAGTTGTCAGGAAAAAAAACTGTGGTACAAAGAATAGTCAGAAAAGAGAGGCCATTAGATAATTAGAAAATTAATTAACAAGCCATTAAGCTTGATAATTGATTGAAGGCTATAGTCTTAAAGAGAAAAATATACAATAAAATAATTATTATAATCCAAGCAAGTATAACCAAGCAATTTTTAATTAGGTTGTGTATGGTTGGAATCCAACAGGATTTATCAGCAGATCACAAGCTTTATATGTTCAGCTTATTTTAATAGAATTTTTATTAGGTTACGTACACTAAAAAGGTAAATTGAAGCTAAAGCATATGGGCTTTGCCTAAAGCCCAGCCCACATTATTTTTAACTAATTAGAGTCAATCAATCCCAAAAGGAATAGATAAACAAGAATTTTGAGGAAGTCTCAATTAGCATTGGATTGAAATTGTGCAAAAATCAAAACATAGGATAATAAATTTACGGATAAGTCAAATTTATCAATTAAAGTTCAATTGGACTACTTTTGAAATATCTACAAGTTATAAGACTATTTTTAATTTTCATAACAGTCATTTGGATGTGGCATGCCACCGGAGGCGACGTGTTATTTCCAACAACACACGTAAAATTTGAAAAAAAAAAAATATCATTATTTTAATAAATTTTAAAAGTTATGACATTTCTATTCAACTGAATTTCAATGACACTAGTTTTGAAATTGTGAGACTAGTAAAATTTTCACCATCATCTTGTCATTTTCCTGCCTAACAAACATGTTGACAAGTTACAACAAGAGTGAAAGTATATACAGTAATAATATGAGAGACTGGATAAATCTTTTGGTTAAATATTAATTTATTAATAGTACAATAATCTAATTTGGTGCTTTTGAGTAATTTCAGATACTCACACTTTATCCTGATATGCTGCACATGCATGTTTGAAAATTTTGAAAAATTTATGTGTATGACAGTGAGTTAACAGCAAAATGTCTCAAAGCAGAGCTTATATATATATATATATAAATATATATATATATATATATATATATATTTATTAATTTTAACTACAAAATGACAGAATATAAAAAGCCCAAATATTTCTTATGATGATATTAATATAAGACATGTGAACTCAATCTCTGGTCAGAGTCAAATAATGTAAAAATATTTTTACTAAAACACAAAGACAGATAGAAAGTAGAAACTCAATCTACATAAATTGTGAATGTACGGTTGTCCTAGGAATTTCAGGCCGCTTTTTATCCAGACCAATGCTACATTGCCACATAGTGTACAACCAGGTTGATAACACAAGTGGAAACATCCATTTGTGCATTTTTTTATTTTTATTTTTTTTTTGATATGTTCACTTGTGTTGTCAACCTAATTGTACACTAGATTGACAATGTATCATTTTTCTTTTATCCAAATCCAATCCAATGCTGTTAAATTAATCTACATAAATTTTGTAGGGATTAAATTATATTGCATTAATTTGACAAGGCCAGTGAGAATATTCAGGATATGTCAATCATCTATTATAGATTTTACTCACGAGATTTGCAACCTAGCTAAGAAAGTACAAATGATGAGGTGATTCCAAAATTTGGTCCTCCAAAGCTGAGATAATGTATCATACAAATTAATATGATCAGTGATTAGACAAAAGTAAGACATTTCATATTATAAGTATAAATTTTTTGTTAAACAAAAATATAACGGCTCGACCCGCCTAATGATGAGATTGCCTCAAACGAAAATTTGTGCAATATAAAAACACAAATCTTAATGTAAAACAGTCTAACAATTAATCAAGTCAACTCGGCATAATTGTCGAACAAAAATGTGTATTTATGTTATATCCGCCTAGCTAGGCCTGTAAACGAGTCGAGCAAAACTCGAGCTTAGGGTGCTCGAGCTCGAACCCTTAACGACCCAAGTCGAACTCGGCTCGTTAAATAAACAGTCTGAACTCGAGCTCGAGCTCGGCTCGTTTATCACTAATAGCGAGCCGATCTCGAACTTTAACGAGCCGACGAACTAGAAAAAATTATAAAAATATCTCTCACCTCGTTAACCAAATTAACGAACATTAAATGAGCTCAAACTCGACTCGTTTATCAAAAGAGCCGAGCCGAACTCGAGCCTTAAGGAGCCGAGCTCAAGCTGAGCGTAACCAGACTCGATTAATTTAACAGCATCTAACAGCCCTAATGATAAAAAAATGTGCTATTGTTCATAACATATCCTTAATTAAGAAGTTACACATGGTTTAAGAACTAAAAACAATAAGGTGATAAATAAAATACAATTATATATATATATATATATATATATAATAAAAAANCATACCTAGGGTTTCAACTTTCAACTCTCCACCTCTTTCTCTCTGCCTTGTTATGAATTCATAATTCAAAAATTGATACAAAACCCAATTTTTTCTTTTCACCGGAAATTGATCATTATCTACTAATTAACTCGATCGATTTATTCGAATTTTTTCGCATCAAGAATAGTGATTGATGTAACCAAAGGCCACCGACTGAAGATCATCCGAGTCGTCTCGAAACGGCCATTGTCGACTTTGGTGCTCGTTCGAATATTGCATCTCGAGAGAATCCATGCTTCCAAACGAGGCATTATCCTCCGGGAAACACGAGCTGCTTTCGTACTTAAGGAAAGGATTCGGATTCGGATCGCAGTCCATATTGGGCCTATCTGAGTAGTAAGGCCCATTTGGCCCGACATTGTTTTCAAAGTAGTTTGAACCGAATTGAGGCAAAGTCATCCCCTGATTTTGTAGCCAGTTTTGTACGTAACCGTGATCGGGAAAATTTTGATTTTCGCCGTAAAATTTTGTGTCATTATTAGGGTTTGCATTAGTGTTGATGCTTGGAGATGCTTGCTCCTTGAGTGATGCCAGTTGGGCTTGCAAATTTACCACCTAAAGATCAAGAAAACCAAGAATTTCATAAATACACAAACTAATAATAAGCAAATTGCTATTATTACGTAAGCATATAAATACAATGCATAAAAAATAGATACTTGGATTTATCAGGAGGATTGAGTAATAAAACTACAACTTTGCTTCCAATATATATTTGGTACTTTTGAAAAAGAAAAACAAATTCAAATTGCAAAACATACCAAGTAATTTGTATTTTTTATTTTTATTTTTATTTTTTTATTTTTTTTGTCGAAACGATAGGAAAATATACCAAGTAACTTAACTTGGCCACTTTAGATATTGCCCGCAACTGCAATAATCTACTTATAACTAATCAAATTACGAGCATTTGGCGATAGTTAATTTTTTGCAATTTTTTTTTAAATAATGGGCATTGTTTGGTAACTCTTTGGCATATTTTGCTCCAATTTTATTAGTTACTGGACATTTTTTCAGTGATCATCAAAATTATTAGATAAATTCATCAAAATTACTGGATAAAATTGTCGCCCACGTCATCATATTCTATAATTTTTCTAAAGATAAAATGGAAATAGAAAAAAATAACCACACATAAATTTTAAAAAATAAAAATTCTCTTACAAACTAGGTTGAACTTGTCACACAGACTGCACACACACATATTTTTATTCAATAATTTTTTTATTCTGAACACAAAAAGGGGGAAAATATATATCAAGAAAAAGCAAAAAGAAAAAAGGAAAAATACCTGCTGTTGGAGGGCAAAAATATGAGAGACACAGCCATAGATGGGGTCTTGCAAACGGGCCTGGGCCTCGTACGAAATTGTGACAGCGGCCTCGGCCCGATCTCCGGACGGGAGATGGGCCAGAAGTTTGGACACGTTGCTGGCCCCAAAGACCTTGTGAATGGCCGCAAAATGGGCCGCCCCTTGTTCGTGGCAGAAATAAGGCGCGAAAACGCAGCCCCTCACGCATTTTCTCCTCAGGAACTTGCAGGCGCCGCATGGTGAGGCCGAGCCCGTCATTTTTATTTATGGTACCTATTTATTTATATATATATTTTTTTGATTGAGCTGAAATTTTCTTGATCTTGAATTTTTTGCAG